AGCCTACTTTATATTTTAACGCTTCTTTCTGAAGCACAACATAAAAAATATTTGATTGTATAAGATAGTGTCAGGAGAGAAGTAATCTTCTGCTATAATTTAAATGACATTAAGTTTCTCAATCTCACATAACTACAGTAGGAGAGAATTTTTTTTTTAAAGTAACAAATCTATTGCTGAAGTGGGATAACCTCCAATAACGTCTAAACAAATTTGTTAGCTTGATTAGTTTGATTATCAGACTTAGAACTATGCTGGACAAATGTATTTAATTTTCTAAGAGAAGCTCATACAAGTTTCCCTTATTTGCAGGGTTGTTTTGGTTTTGGTTTGGTTTGGTTTGGGTTTTTTGGGGTTTTTTTTGTGGGTGAGGGTTGTTTTTTCCCCCCCCCCAGAAGAATTTTATCTGTACCAGTATCTGACTAAGGTGTTCTTAATTCAAGCATCATTGATTTCCTTTCATTTCTCTCTCCTCCCAGAAATACCAATTTCCAATTTTCACTGGATGATGATAAAATGAAGATAATTAAAAAAAAAAACAAAAACCCAAAACTTTAATAGATCTCCTAATGGACATTGTTGGTCATAACTTCTCTCAGGCTATTACCAAGGAAAATCTGGGGACAAATCCCTGTTTGCTGATCTTGGCTGTTCCCTGTTGTTACTGCTATTTGCTGCAATGATTATGAAATGTGAATCAAAGCCCTGTTGAACCCTAAAGGTCACTCCTGCAGTGATTCATCATTGTCATAAAATAGTCATAGGTTGGGGTTTTTTTAAGAGTCACTGTCCTCGCACTATGTGAGTACAATTGCATGTTACAGAAACATCAGTGAAAAAAAGAATATGCCCAGGATGTAATCATTCACCCTACTTGTTTCAGTACCTTGAGACAGCCTTGGGGCAAGTTAGCCTTCATGTAAGGCAGTACTAGTTACGCTGGAGTGCAAACATGATCTTTGGGTCAGTTTTGATTCCAGCTTGCTGATTTGTGCCGTAAGCTAAGGCAATGGCCTTCTGGCTTTGTTTTCAACAAAGCAATGGCAGGTGAGATCAGACATTGTGCTGGTCTGAAAGTTTTGGAATATTTCTGGATGCTGTTGGAGATGTTGTTGCATTTCAACTCAGAGGACTAGCTGGGGGAATTTCAATGCAGATAAGAGCATGCATGTACACAAACTGCAGTACATAGTTCTGGTGCTGGATAAAGCAGAAGAAAACAGTGGTTCCGTAGACTCATTGGTAGGAGCACCCTAAACTACATACTCATGTCTAGAGGCAAAGCAACTATGTCATCTGAGCAGAACTCAACCAGTATTAAAAAAAAAAGTCCTAGCTTTACTAAACACCCGAGCTATGGTCACTGTAACACACACACTTGAGCTGTAATTCCCATGTTTATTAGACGTCTTTAAAAACAGTGGTCAGTAGCAAACTTACTGCATACTAAGGATTATAGCGACCATGGTTTACTTGCTTTACCTGCATCGTGATTGCAACATGAGTTTCTTGTCTTTGACATTAGACTCTGACGCTTCTAAACCATTATGCAAAATGCCAAAAGATCAGTCTCTGGTTAACTCAAGCCACAATTAAATTTTGTCTGCCATCATAGGATAATTATAAGATCAACGCGACACACACAGAAGTATAACTTCACAGATGAAGAGAACAGAGGGGAGAAATATGCTGTGAAGGGGAAAAGCTGTTCACATAAAAAGAATAAGGATCAGAAGTCAAAACTCATCAAGTTATTGGCAAAATAGATTGGTTTTATATACATCTTTTTCCTCATCTTTCCACCACATGACAATCTTCTCTTTAATGTGTTAAAACTCAAAAGATCATTAAGGTCTATGAAGGAGTATGGTAAGAGCTCAGAGCATACAGTAGCACTTGCCTTTTGATAAAAGAGCAGAGCTCGTTAATCAGAGATGGTTTAAACACTAAGAACACGTTTGTCTGGGTGCTGCAGTGGCATGATGAGAATTGCCATACTGTACAAATACTTGTTTAGCATTTGAACAATTGTTGTTTAAAGTGCAGACATCAGGCTGCTTTTAGGTTATTAAATAACATACCTGAGAAAGAGAGTAGGTGCCCTTCTGAGTTATAATGAACTATCTATCTTGTGTGATGCAATATATACAAAAAATCCGAACAGAACAAAGAGGAGTATTGAGAAATATGTATTTTCAGTCTTGTAGTGATGTAACTCATATTTCATCTCCCTGAGCATTACAGTTTTTGGAACTGAGCATCCTATATAATACCAATATATGACTCTCTTCAGCCAAATCTATGAGATTTGACTAGGATTGGTCTTGCAACACAGAATGAATTAACATATGCACCTGTGCAATGTTTGTTCTCTTCACTTACTGATAATACACAGTGGCAGCAAGGAACAATCTTAACAGAATGCAAATGCAAAAAAATGAACTGCCAATATATTAATTGGCTTAAAGCAATTTGAAAGTAAGAAAAAAATATCAAATGCATATATTTAAATTATTTAACGCACTACTACTTATTTTTTAGAGCTCTATATTTCAGAAAGAAATGGTCTGAGATACTGAATGAGATGAGAGCTTAATGAAGCTATGGGGAAATGGTTCAGCTATGGCATTGAAATTACTGTTACAGACAGAGAGTCTAGAAGTTCCTGTCTCAGAAACCAACATATGAGCATATGGGTTCAATCCCACCAGAAATTGTAAGAGAGAATTATTTTCCTTTCATCCACTTCACTAGATTTACATAGGACCTAATATGACCCAAAATCTATTCTTAGAAAGTAGGACTATGATAGCCATGTAATCTGCCTGTCTGAGGAGGTGATCATCTCATGAGAGTAGAACCTGACTTTTTCACTTTCAGTGACCTCCCCGCACAATATGCAACTCATATTGTGACTCTTCTCTTTCTGTATGTAGGTCTTGCCTGCATTTCAATTACATTCTACATAAATTTTACATTAGGATAGCAGTAGTTCTTTTAAAATTATAATAGAACGAAGTCTTAATGAAGATGTGTCAACAGCAACAATTAGAGCCAAAAAACCAAACCACCCTTAAAAAAACTCCACCAACACTGCTTGCTAAATACGTGCTTTATAACCATGAATGACTTGGTTCTAAACCTGGTAAGTTTTCGAGCGCAGTATTCACAACTCCTACAACTCATCAAGCCTGCCTGTGGTTAGAAAGGTCTAGGACACATTAGAAAGACAGTTATATTTCTACTTATCTACGTGACTTAAATGAGAAATTAAATGCCTACCCACCCCCTCAGATTGCCTAGCACAGGATGTCAGGCTAATGACACCATGATAAGACTAGCTTTGATACTTCCAGAAACATATTGTTGCCAACAACTGCAAATAAAATGGGGGCTCCCTCCATATACTGGGCATGTCAAAGAGGAGCCTGTGAACAGGAACAGTAGGGCAAACTGGCTTCAAAACAAATGTTTCTTTTCCCTCACTCAAAGCTGGATCTGCCATAAGGTGCCCTCATTCCACGCAGTAGGTGGAAAACCTGGCAGTACCATGGCCAGAAAACAGGTGGGATGAAGGCTGGACTAGCCTCTTGCTGGTGAGTTGGAAGCGTAAAATTCGGACAGGCACAAGGACACCTTGCTGGAATTTGATTTCCTTATGAATGTCACTTGGCTTTCTCTTCCTTCTGAATGGATGATTTTTTTGAACCACAGAATTATTTTGTGAGGGAAGGCAGATGAAGTGATAGTAGCAGCAGGAGGAGTTAAGGTATTTTCCTAGGGACTAATTGCACAGCTTGACTTTCAGATTTGCTGGAATAGATGAAAATTCCCCACAAAGAGGAACGCAGGCTTAAAACTGCTGGCAGATTTTTCTACCTCATACTTGAATAATAACATAAGGTAGAGATAATCATGATATAATTGCAGACAATTTGTTAGTCAAAAAAAATTAGTTGAACAAATTGTTCTTTCTAATATATGAGTTTCAATTAAAATACACACACCAGGGAAGATTATTCCTGAAGGTTTTTTTTTTACTGCAGGATACCTGAAAATTACTAAGATTAAAAGAGAAAAACAATGACTTCTAAAATCTCTCCTTTTAAATACGTAGATACATGAAACTTGTGGTCCTCAAGCAACTTGCTATAAGATTGAAGTCAGCCCTGCTTTGAGCAGGGGGTTGGACAAGGTGACATCCAGAGGTCCTTCCAAGCTAAATAGTCCTTGGATTCTATCAAATGCCCACAATTAATAAGGTTGTAGCAGACTACCTCAAGCCTAAACATCCATTTCAGGTCTAACATCAGAGGCAGGCTCTCTGAGCACCACAGCTTGTCCTCTTCCTCAGATTGTCCCATGAGACCCCAGCTGCATTGTCCCTACGTTTCACCTCACCTTGTACCAATGCATGGTTTTAGCTTTCTCCTATTTATTTGCATGTGTCAAGTGGATGTGCTGCTCCTGAGCAGCCTGAACCATAGTGTAACAGGATCCTGTGTGACAAACTAAGGCAGTCAGAATGAGGGCACGACAGGGAGCCTGTCCTCCCTCTTCCTTATTTCCCTCTGACTCAAACACATCTGCGTGAACACCACAGAACACCTCCATCTGATGAGGGAACTGCTCTCTTCTCCTGCCACCCTCCCTCTGCATACAGATGTGCTCGCATGTGGACTGCACACTCCAGAAGGCAGATGTCTCTGGTTTTTAATTCCCCTGAATTCTCTGATGGATTAAAGCTCAAATCTCTAACTGTCCTTAATGCTGCAGTAAGTAACACACATACTGGTTACACTGATTTACAGCTGAAATAAAAGTGAAAGACAGTCAAAACGAAATGTCTGAAAGCCAATCTATGCTCTAAGTGGGTGGGCCAGTAAAGTCTTTTGGATTATTTTCTCCCACCAACCTTCACCTTGCCCAGTGCCTGATGAGGTAAAAATCACAATCTGCAGCAATAAAAGTTGAAGGTACATGTATTACCCTCCACCTACCTGTAAGCCTTCAATGGCCAGTTTTAGGATAGATGGTGTAAGCTTGGAGGCTTGCTTGAAGGAGAAGTTGCTCCAATCTATGATTAGAATGAAGCCATTTATCTGAAGCTCCTGATCTTCAATGAGCACTTCCAAAGACAGTAGGATAGCCCGAAGGATATCTATGAAGGAGTTCCTAAAGCCAAAGCAGAAATAAAAAAAATGAAATAAAAATCAATGGTTGCAGTTATCTTCAAACCTCAAGATATTCAGTTTTTCTGTGGATGGGGCATGAGCAAGGGACAGGGATTTATTCTGGCAGAATTCTTTTGAAAAGAGAGTTGTTTCAGAGGTGTCAGTAAAGCACTCCTGCTCTGAAACTCACATTCATCTGCTTGATGTGATAAGGCCTGCTCACTGGTGGATAAAATAAACCCCAAATTAAATTTTTTGATTCTTCTGGCATTCCTAACAATAGATTTTAGCTAAGCTACTTTGGGAAAATATTTCTCTGTAGTGAAATGAAATGGATTCAGACTATCAGTTTAAATCCTTGATCCTTTGGTTATACTTTACCAGTTTTATTGTTAGGGTTGTGGTGGGTTTTTTTGTTTTGTTTTGTTTTTTTGTTTTGTTTTTTTCCCCTTCTTTTCTTTCTATTATAAAGAGGAAAATCAGAAAAAGAAATAAATTAGTATGATATAAATATAAATGGTATGGTTACAACTAGGCTCCCTGGCTTCCTGCTTGAGCAGAAGAAATGACCCAAGGTTTTGGAACAATAAAGTTTGACTGTTGACTTATTTCTGTGAACCAAATGCAACATGGAAAATAGCTGTATCCACTCAAAATAGGAACTCTTTTTAAATAGCAGACCAATAGTCTGGCTGCAAGGCTTCCCTCACTTCTGGGAGAATAATTAGAAACCTTGGAGGCCCTGAAGAAGATAGCAAGGGACAAAGAAGAAAATGTTGCAATGTTTTCTTTAATCTAAAAGTCTGTACTGAGAAGCCTTGGCCTCTCTCTATGTCCATCTTAGGCGTTTTACAAAAGAGGTGGACACTTTAATGACGTATTCCATATTTACACCTAGGTAAGCTGAATCGGGCCCTCTCATCATCTGTTTTTCCCATTAAGATAATTTACAAACAACAGATTCTTTCAGAGAGCAACAAGCAAGGAAAGCTTCAGAAAGTGCATCTTAACCTTCTGTAAAATGAAGTTGTACCATACTGCTATTGCAGTCTGCTTTACCTCTACATAATTCTCAAATTTTGATGAGCCCTGAGGTTTGTTACAGGGAAGACTCACAACATGTTCTCCCATGGAGATTTTAATTTAATCCTCTTCTGCTGTTTAATTTGAAACAAGTCATCTAAGCCTACAAGAGCGTTGTTTCAAATTCTGCCTGAGAGAAAAAAGCCTATCTGCAGTCAAAACAAGCTTCTCTACTGTCAAGACCTCTACCCCTGAAAGTCAACAACACATAAATTTCTATTGGAAGTAAATGGTGGTGTATTTTCTAATTCTTTCTTTTTCTCTCAGCAAGTTTTGGGTGGAAATCTACATGCCTTCTCTGAAGACATAGTTAGTTCCTGTTTCTGAACTGTGTCTAAGTTAGAAGCTTCTCTGAAGTGAAATTGCTAAGGCAACTTGCAATTCATGGAGCTTACAGATATTTAACTTTGTTGCTGCTGGGTACCAGACCACGTCTCCCTCATTTGCAGTAACAGGAAAACCTTGATCTGTTCACATTGTATGTGGAAGCTGTGCTGAGCTGGCAAACTGACAGAGTACTTTCCTTAGCAACATCAGCTGAAGGCATATAGATTGCATTAGCAACAGATATTTATTTTTGGTCTAACTTTATTTCAGAAACCTGCAATATGAATTTACTACCCACTGCCCAACTGAAACAGGTGATGACTTCCATGCAGCATTAAATTACTATGCTTTCAATGATGAAAAAAAACAATCGCACCATATTTCTTAATATATCCTACATCACTCTCCACATATATGTGTCCTCACACATATGCCAGCCTTCTCCACTCTCTTGGCATCAGCGTATTCATGGATGGGCTTTGTGGCCCATAGATATAGATATAATAATCCAGATCTTAAAATGAACTGAAAACTTGTTATTACTGAAGATATGAAAATAAGACCACATTGTGATCAGAAAAGGTTTCATCCTTCATATTTGAGAAGTTTTCTCAATAGAAGATGCACTCTCATATTTGTGATCCTTCTTCTTCATGCATTCAAAGACCATGTAAGGATTTCAGTAGGGCTATATGGAAATGGTGTATACAAGGCATCTTCTATAACCCCTTGAACTCTGAATCACAATGAAATATTTAATTTGATTGAGCAAAATCTTCCTCTCAGACTCTATCCTTAGGAATGTCAACCTTTGTTTAGATATCTACATAAATTATGAGGTTATCAAGCAATTTCTCACCTGCATTTTCAGTAGAAATTATTTCCCTGGGAGATATGGCTTCCAGTTTTCTTAGTGTGTAACTCATCTGTGTGTCCCCTGCCCAGATCCCCCTCCCCATGCTGCATATTTGCAGTTTTAAGACATGGTGCAGGAAATAAAGTGAACACAAAGATGTTTTTCAGATGAATACGAGGAGACATGAAAGCAGCAAACAAGTCCTCCAGGTGGGCTGTTTGCAGGCACACTGTTTGGTAAATGCAGGGTCTGGATAGAAATCAGACAGAGTGCCACTTGAGGCTGAAGCCCTCTGCTCCCTAATCTTGAGGCTTTGAGACAAATCATTCAGCTGTGTGACTGATTTGCATCCAAATCATTTTCTATGCATGAGCACAGAACCACTTTCTATTAGTCCATCTCTTTTGTTCCTTTGCTTAATTTTCCCTTCCCTCCTCCAACCCTCTTCCCCACCAGTTTAAGTCTCTCACAAAAAAAAAAAAAAAAGTGAAATAAATTACTATTACACAAAGGGATATGTGTAAGGTGCTGTAAGGATTCAGCATGGAGTCTACTGAAGTGAGCCACTAATGAGTTACCGAAGATTTGCACAAGCCCCAGAAAGACAAAACGGAGGAGGGAGGGAGAGAGAGTGCCTATCTGCCTTGGCTGAATGGAAAGGTACCACAAAAGAGACTTCAAATATCCTTTGGAAAATGGGAAGTTAGCCCAACAGAAGCTAGTGGTAAGGAACAATAATGTAAAACAAAAATGAAGATGGTTTAGCTGAGGGATTTGGTGGAGAGATTAGCCAAAGGCATAACATGAAAATAAATAAGAAGAAATTACTTAATTATAAGAGGCGTAAGCAGGCTGTGAGAGAAGCAAAAGGCTCAGTGGAGTACCAGGGTGCAATGGGAACAATTAAAGGGGATAAAGACATTGCAGGGAAGTTGAATTATCTATTTGCATGTCTCTGCCAGCAGTTATTTTGAAGAGATACATGGATGATAAAGTTGAGGGACTGTTGAAAAATAAGGGGTCAAATAAGATACTCTGCAAGAAACTGATACGTTTTGGAGAAGATAGCTTCAGTAAAGGCTTTTGACATCATGGTGTCTGACCAGCTAAGCACAGGTTCTGATTGAGGCATGCTAGTGAAATTAAGTTGATTATTCAGAAGGTTAAAAGTATAAATGTGCAGAAGTACTGGCAGCTGAACCCGTAAAGATTGTCTGGTAGTAAGCAAAAGGAAACTGTTACTAAAAATCCTGACTGTCCCACAAGACAGCAGGCTAATGAAGTTTGGACCAGTGTCGTTATCTTGGCAGTTGCAGATAACTCAGTTTAACATCCCGAAGCTGCTCTGCAGTAGAAGCTTCTCTCCTGCAATTCTTAAAAGGTGTCTTAGTTAAATGCAAATGCAGATAAAAAAGATTTCTTTACTTGTTAAATAAATGTCTCAGATACAAAATCAATGATTTTATCATCTTTAAATGCAACAAAGAAGTGAACTTTTCAACACCATCATATTTAACATAAGCTAACAAAAGACTGAGCAATATAAAACTGGTTTCATTGAGTCTGAACACCTAAGAAGGTAAAACAGCAAAGTACCCCTCACAAAAAAGCTGTTGTCAAGGCTGAAAAACATGTAGCAAGCAGCAAACACAGCATAGATAAAAATCAGGTAAGAGACTCTATCTCACTTTGTCCCTTCCCCACATGGTAGATCACTAACGGAGAGCAGAAATGAATGCTTAGCTTCTAATGGGGGGAGGGTTGGCACTGCAAGGATTCCCCCTGGGAGGATTCCCACATTACTCGTGTAGAAGAGGAAGTGGAAAGAAGGACCAGAAAAACATGCTCAAGTTGCCTCACACTATTTGAGCTGATCGAAACTGAAGAAGCTGTAAGGAAAGGTTTAGAAAGGGAGATGTGAACAGTAGTTGAGAAGGGAGAACCCAGGAAGGAGCATTTTGAACTGCTCCCACATGCAGCAAGGTACAGTATTCATGGAAAAGCCCTTGGGATTCAGTCAGCATTGGGTTTTTAGCAGGTGTTCATAAATCATACGAAGTAATTTATTTCAGCAGATTAAATTTTCCTTTCTGCTCATGAAATATTGATAAGAAAGCCCCAACTTCTGATAATGTGTTCTTAGAAAACACCTGGATTTTTTTAATGCATGCATTTATCTTAGAGGTTTAAAACTCACCTCTGGTGGGGAAAAAAAAAAAAAAAACAACACTGGAAATTACTGACATACGTCCCTTGGGGATCCATGTCTTGATTCAAATTCATGACCATGAGTAGCTGCCCTGCTACTCTAGCATCAGAGGGACATGGTGGTCAGTCCAACCACTGCATGACCTGTTCTTCTCATTTTCTGAGGTGAGAAAAGACCCCTCATATGAAGCCCGCAAAATGCTGGGCAGCCCTTGGCTGAAGAACAACCAGGAAAACTAACTGCAAAATGAAGAATCGTGAATAAACATGGTGATTCACCTGACTAATTCTGCAGCAGAGAAGATGAGCAGTGGAATAGAGGAGCTCACAGCTGACTCATGTGCTGAAAAGGGCTTGTTTGTCTCATCTTTCTGAGGTCTGAATAGCGCATATGTGCGCAGAAATTAGCAAGGCTTGTCTACCATTCACAGACGAAATGGGTTACATTCATGGCAAATGTTCACAACAAATATTTTGACCAGCCATGGGTAACTTTTTCCATAGAACAATTCACATCCATTTAAACT